GCTATTTTTGATGGTGGCACTTGGACACTTTGATGATGTGGTCGTTTGCTCTCAAGTGGAGAAGGCATAATGAGGGAAGGTGAGAGTTTGCTTTTCATGTCTTCTTGGCTTTACTTGACTATGTCAGAATACCACACCTTTATTCTAATTGGCTTCAAAGATGTTTGCTTTCAATCAATGTATCTGGAAATTTTTTGTTGTTGAGGATGTAAAACAGTAGTGCTTTAGTGCAGGTCATGGCTAGTACATTTCCAGGATGTTGGGGTTAGTTTAGAACAGTGAAGGTCATTGATCTGGCTTGACTGGAATTTCACAAGCGACACTAGATTGAGCTGATGGTCATCTGGGATTCCTCTGAAAGAGCTGATACTTGGTTAGGGATTTTCTTTTCGAACTAAAAGCAATTTAAGCTATAATTATTAACTTAGCCAATTATTCGACCTAATTATAGCCAATTATTCGGCCTAATTACAATAAACAGTCAAATGAAATTACCAATTTATCTCTTTTCAGAATAACTTTAGAATGAGTTAATCTGAATTAGTATCACCCAACTAGTGGACTAATGCAAATCCTGCATTTTAATTGGCTACGCTACTAGAGGACTATTAGTAATAGTCCTCGAGTAGCGAAATTGGCACAATCGAGCGTGACGCTTTCTTTTGTTTTATTCCCAAATAAATATTTCTTCAACTTGCATTTGCTAAGTTTATTATTACCTTTTCTGTCCGACTAGTTGGGTGATACTAAAACAATTAGTCTCTTCGCCCTCAAGGGCCATGGGTCAATAGCCCATGAGGCTTTTCCTCATGGGCTATTGACCCGTAGCCCATGCGGGCTACAGGTCTAATTGTTAAGTAGCCCCTCGTACAGGCGTCACTTGGGTTGTCACACAACGCTTGTTTGCAGGAGTGTTGTGTGACACTCCAAACAAACGGCTGTAAAGGGAGTCTATAGTAATAAGGATTTTGACAAATTTCAATTAAATATTTCTGTTTTCTAAAACAAATTTCTGAGCATAGGCCAATTGTTACACTGATTACCAAAACTTTGAATTACATGTAAACCTCGAAACTTTATATTGTATCCAACTATAAAATGTGATTTTGTAGGCCAATTGTTTATCATGTCTTCCAAAACTCAGTTAAACATCGAAACCTTTTTCTTTAACTAAGGCTGCGTTCCTTTGGGGTGATCTGGATCAGGATCAGTGATCCAAGATCTGTCTGGATCATGGTGCATCAAAGAAACCGATGAATCCATGACCATAGTGGATTCATCGGTTCTTTTGATGCACCATGATCCAGACAGATTTTGGATCACTGATCCTGATCCAGATGACCCCAGAGGAACGCACCCTTAAATATATGTTTTTTTTCTTAGACCAAAATTTGCTCTTTTTGACTTCAGAACTTTGACAATTTAAAGCATAGGAAACTATATTTTAAACAGAACATATTTTCAGTCGATTTTGATTTCGTCCATATTGAATTCCAAGACTTTAAAATTTCCTCATTCATAACCAGAAAAAAATTGTATAATTTCGATTTATTTTAATCTTGTAGGCCAATCGTCCATCTTGACTTCCAAATCAAAACTAAACCTAGGAAACTTCTTTTTCACTTAATAATAGTACTTGATCAACTTCATTGTCATCCCGAGGACACAGCGGCAGTTAATCGTGGCAAGACGAAGTAAACCGAGCGCTAAATTCCGTGTGACGTAACTTTCGTTGCGCCGATTATGCCGCTCGGCCCCTGGCCGCTCGGCTTAGTTCGTCACGCCCCGATTAACTCCCAATGGGTCTTCGAGGATGCTTTGTTGTTTGATGCTATTCAAAACCAAATTGAACAATTACAATAGAATAAAATTAATTTCAAACTTCTACCGTTTTTGCATTTTAAATCGGTTCAGAACCTTGAATATTTAATCAAGATTTATCCACAGAAAATTGCGCGCAAAACATAAACACCAAGATTTCTTTCGCAAAATATTTCGATTCATAAGCACAGAATATTTTTTTATAAATATAAACCTCTACTGATTTCAAATAACTAATATCAAAACAAGCTTTACTCAATTCTAACTGATCGGCTTTTGCATTTTTGTTTACTATAGCAAAATTTCAGAGGTTTAAGCCGCAAAACATATTACTAATCTTTCATTCGCCCAAAATACCGCAAAATTATCTTCCCCTTAATTAAACATAGGCGATAGAAAATTCATAAACTTGTATCAGCTCAGATGGAAGGGTTTCAAGTGACTTGTGTTCTTTTGGTGAAGTTTGTGGGACGACAGTCGGCAGGAGGTTTGGTCGGCAAGTCAGATCAATGATTTTTTGCGATCCATTCTTTTCTTGGCATCCATGGAAATTGCTAAACATGACTTGTACTTTAGCGCTTCCGTTTTTCCTGTGCTTCCAACGGAAATTTCTAGATACAATGTTTGGAACACGCATCTTAAATTTTACTATTTTGGCATTAATTTTTTTTGCGCATTACTTACGGCTCTCAAAGTTAATAAAAATTCCAATTCAAATGGTGTGGCATTATGACTTAGTTGAGTGAAACCGAGGAGGCATGGGGAGCAGGCTCTCACTTCCCTCATTGTGCCATCTCCACTTGAGAGCAAACGGCCATATCATTAAAGTGGCCAAGTGTCGTCATCAAAGATGGCGGAGCAGATAAACAAACCAGGATTTTAAAGTTGGAATATTAATGAGGAACAGAAGAGACACTTCAACTCAGAGCGGAGTGAAAGCAACCCGACAAGCAGGGACAAGATCGGCTAGATTTTTTTTATTTTTATTTTTTTTGAACACAATGAAAACGCAAATAAAGAGACAAAGAGACATATTTTGTGTGTTGTGGTTTTTACCAGCAATCCATCATATAACTAACCAGGTAAACACTTGTGTCCATGACTAAGTCCTGATATACAATGTAATCTGTCACGCAACTTACCCCGCAATCTTCTCGAAAACGGCCTGACAAGTTACATGAAACATTACGTCGTGTAACACAACGCACAACGGTCGCAATCCATGCAGTACAATTCGCTTTAACAGCAGCGGCAAGTAGAACTAAGTTCTGACCCTCTGCAACTGTTGAAGCGAACTATTTTGCAAGAACTTTGTCCGTCGCACGGTGTGTTACACGACGTAATGTCTCACGCAACGCACTTGTCACGCTGCCCTCGAGAATATCGCGAGACCAGTTGCGTGACAGATAACACTGAATAACAGGACTTAAAACCAAGTTCTGCTTTTTAAAAGAAAACACCACTGAAGGCTTTGTCCGCGCTTAAACTCTCAGTATACCTCTAGCGCGTTGTTAGGATCCAAACTGTATTTAGTTGCTCAAGAATATTCCCACTTTTCCCTTCCCATGTTCAAATTTTGCAAACTTTATTGTTACACAAAGCCGTTAGTTTAGCGCGACACAAGACTGCCATCAAGTGTTATGCTGAATTTTGGCTGAATGCATAAATCAAGACAATCAATAAGCGCAGAAAAGCTGAAAAACGTTAACTCGACAAAGATCTGATCAATGTAATGACGGCTGCATCACTGTAAAATTTGAGAGTCTGATTAAAAAAAATTGTCGAACACACCGTTTTGATGTGTAAGCATAACCAATTTTGAGACCCGCGCACATTTAAAACCACCCAGAATTTGCCTAACTGTGCTTTGAAATTTCGCGAAAATAAACAAACGCTGAAAAAGCGTGCAATGAAATGCTAATTTTACATCACAAAATAAAATATTTATAAAATCTTTTTCGTCGATGACGATTGTTTCTGACGCTTAAACGTTTGACTGAAAAACTTATCCCAAAAAGAAATTCCCAAAGTGAGCGACTAAACACATTTTGTAAATTCTAATTGAGCGCAATGAAACGAGGTATACATTAACACAAAGACGCAATCATGAGATTATGAAAAGTCCGACTCGAGAATAAATGTAATATTTTTTGGTCTTTTCTGTGATATTTAATCTCTATTAATTTTATAGAATTTTACGCTATTTCCAGATAATCTCCAAATATGAATCAAAATTTATCCAAGTTTAGAGACTGCTACACTCTCAAATAATGCGTCTTTGTGTTTGAGATAGTTTCATAACAGACAAAGTTCTTCTGTTCAGTGCTGATAACTTATTGAACAGTGGCCCATATTCATCAAAAGAGGATCGTTTAACTCCGAAATGGGTTATAAAGTTTTTCTTCGATTTTTCATGAGTTCAAAACGATTAATTTAATTAAGAAAAACAAATATTACTAAATAAATGACATTCCTTGAGGACTTATCCCTTCAGCAAAAGTGACAGAGTACATGTATTGAGAATTTCAAAGAAATCAAATCTACATGTAAATGCTTTTATCGTGCAAATGGTAGGCAATAGAACATTTTACAGTTGTCTGTTCTGTGACCTGGCCTTTGAATGGCAGCGAGGTCGGAAGTGTCCTTGCTTTGACACAGACGTCTCTGCTTTTGTCAGGTAAATACACCTGATTTACACAACAAAAGCAGAGGTCTTTATCAAAACAAGGTCACCTCCAGCCTTGGTGACATTCAAAGGCCAGGTCACTGAGCAGACAACTGTAAAATGGTCTATTGACTTTTCATACCATTAGAACTGAAAATAACAGCAACAACTCTAAATGATACATCCTGCAATAATTCAATTGAAAACTGACTCCTGAGAATTTGGTAGAAATCTCTTTGAACACTGATGAAAAGGAAATTTGACATATTGGAACTTGAAAACATGTCGTCTCATAAAGATCTACATGTACTGAGTGCCAATTTCAATTTCAGCATTTGTCAAATAACAGTCTTTCCCATAAAACCGGGAACACCAGAAAAAATTTGTTGAATGTTTATTGTTTTGCGACCAATCAGATGTGAGATGAAACCGCAAAAGGTAACCGCCAAACCACAACAGCTTGAAAGGTTCGGATTAGTCACGACTTGACACGAAACAATGCTCTGGCTTTTTTTCTACCATGACAAAATTTCAATTTTACCGTTTTCAAATCTCTTTCATGTAAGTAAGACGCTTGGAATGAGAAATTTTTGTTTCTGAACTTGAAAATATTCCCTCCTACAGAACTACTGAAAAGCACAGAGAGTGAAATCACAGATCATTTTTGCAAATGTAACAGTTTTAAATACTCCACATTGTTCTATAATTGGCATAAATTAACCTTAGCAACTGAGCAGCATTTTTTTTCTGTTGGTTGAAAAAAATTTCTCCATAACACTTGTTTAGATATTTTTTCTGTAAAAGTTTGTGGATTTTGGCAAATTGAAAACCTTTCATGTACAACTCATGCTGAAGGGATAAGAGTAGGGAATAACATAATTTGCATGATAGCTTCATATTTTGTTGATATGAGCCACTGTATAACAACTACAAGTACCGCAGACATGCTCAACACAACAGAAGTCAAGTTTAAACCACGGCATGAAAAAAAAAAACAAAAACAGTTTCAATCAATTTGCTGACAGTGGATAACAGAGGATGTCACTCTTAGAAACAATAAAGAAAGAGATTTTAAATTCCATTACAAATTTTAAAAAAAATATATTTGACTGTTTTTTTTTTCAAAGCAATTTTGTGAAGCAAGTCAAAGAATAGGCAAAACAGTTCTCTAGTTCTTCTAGTAAACTCAATTTATTATACATGATGTGACAATACACAGTCACTAAAATGCTTTCATAAGAAGTCAGAAATAAGCCACAAACTCAAATAAATTTATCGATAATTTGGGTGAGAATTCATAAATTAGTAAGTGCCTCAAAATTATCAATTAGTGAAAATTATATTTGACTGTCTTATCATTCACTTTTTTAAATTATACAGTGGTCTCAGCTTCATTCACACCCCACAAAATGAACTCTGTTGTCTTAAAACAGTAAAATGAAATTATGGTAAACTTTGGAACCTTATTTTTTGAAAGAGAATTGAAAAAAAAAAAAAAACAGTTTCTATTCTAAAGGATTGGTCAGGAGAGAGATGGTCTAGGACATATAACATATGATTGGGCATCTACTTTCAAAAGCAACTTTTGACAATTAAAATTACTGTATTTCCTCAACTTGGCCCCTTCCCTAAGTTGAGTCCTACTAACCTATCCAAAAATATTTCTTTCATCAACAAAAATTGCAGTTTCGATCTCAGTGGAAGGTGATTTTGTTCACAGGGAACATAAATTAAAATAGTTAATATGGTCCAGATCAAAAGCATTACATTCATAGCTACCAATTTAAGGTTTTTCATTTGTGCAACTTCAAGTCCTTAAATCTGATTTAATGGAGATAACACTGACAGCAAATTGCAGTGACTCTTCATCTAAAAAAAATCGTGTTTTTGATTACAACTGCTCATAATATTTTGAATGATGGCACTAAGAAGAATTTTTCATTTTTTAAGTAATAAGTTCCCTACGGATAACAAGCTAAATGTCCCAATCAATTTTTTCCCTACAAATTTCAATTTTGATCTGAATGTTCAAAAGCGATATTCAGCTAAATGCAAAACCCATTTACATGTTGACCTATTAATAAGACGTGGCCCCCTAGCCCGCCCCCCCCCTAAAAGGATGCCCATTTAAAAGAGTTCCCCTTCTGAAGTTAAAGGAAATACAGTAATAATAATGAAACCAAAAACAGATGGGTTATCCACTGTCAAAGTGTGCAAAACCAATTTGGTTGATGGGCCAATTGTATGACTGTAAGCAAGCATGTCTGTGGTATTGCAAAGTCTAAAGCAGAACTTGGTTTACATCATACAATGCAATGATCAAATCACATTACTTCCTTAACCTGGCCAAACCTGAGAAAATTTACTGTTAACCCATAACTCTTTCCTGTTACAAGCTTCCCAGGGGAGGGAGTAAGAAAAAAACCCGTCTATTTGCCCAGTGTAAAGAAAAATAATTTCCCTAACTTTTTCCCAACACTGACTGGAGAATATTTTTCACTGAGCCAAGACGTACTAGTCAGACAAGTGCAATCACTGATCAAGGATTGCCCTGAACAGCACTGTTGGTGATAACTAATTTTAGTTTTTATTTTGAAAAATATCAGAGAGAACGTAAGTCATCTTCAGAGTCAACTCAACAATTTTTTTTAACAGTCAACAGTTGTTTCTTAGTCTATGGTTTCCCATCTCTGGTCAGTAGCACTGACAGTGAATCACAAAGTGATGTTGTAAGCTCTTTCAAAGACCCACATATAGTTTGTAATCAGTGATCACTCAGTCAAGGTCTCAGGTTAGTGGTCAGCTTTCAGCTTTTGAGTCCGTCAACAAAAGTAGCTTGTACCTATATTCGTGTCAGTTTTGTGATTTGTATCATGTTAAATCTCAATATTTACAGAGGAAGCCACATCAGCCTTGGCTGGTTTTCATGTGGGTCCTCTATCCTGGTTGAATTGGAATTTGGAGATGTGGTTTTTGCAGAGGGAAGAAAACCAGAGAACCCAGGGAAAAACCCAATGAGCAAGACTAGAACGAACAACAAACTCATGACAACCCGCATATGGCACCACCCTGGCGTTGAACCCAGGCCCCATTTTATGAGAGGTGAGTGCTCTCACCACTGTGCCATCCCAGCTCCCCATGTTCTTAATGGTGTTCAGTGATATCCTCATTAGTATCACACTTGTTTGCATTGTGTTCATCTTCTGTTGAGATTCCTGCCAATCTCTCTTTCCTGACAGATAATCCACTTGATTTTGTGCTGTGTAATAATGGGTTTGCCCCTGGGTTAACCATTGTCATAATTTATTGAAAGGTTTGTGGGCCATGGAGATATTATAGGGCTGTCAGATCTGTACAATGAAAAAAGTGCTCTTAATAAGCCCCTCCCAAAGTCTTAAATGCGAAAAATCGTTTTGGAAAATAATAAGCCCTCCTATCTGAATGTACACCCGAGATTGTACAAAATGTAGGATGGTTTTCTATGAACCATTATTTGCATCCAATATTGCAAGGCTTACTAAATGGTTAAGAAGGAGGATCTTTTCCATTTTCCTCCAACTTAGATAAATGACATTCCCTCACTTTTTCCTGACCTGTGGCAACCTCTAATGACAGTGAATTTAAATTTTAAATATTATTTTCCTTGTCCTAGAATTTGGTGATTTTTATATCAATATCTGAAGGATTAATTATCAGGAGAAATCCCAGGGGTAATCCCAGAAATAATCCCAGGGGTAATCCCAGAGACAATACCAGGGGTAATTCCAAGGGTAAATTCCACCTCAGGAGGATGACCAGGGATCTGAGCCAGGTTAAGTTTTGATTTGATCATTGCATAAGAACACAAGTGTTTACGTGGTCCTGGATTGCAATAAAATTATCATTCTAGAATATGGTAAATAATGATAATCCTCTTCCTGTCTTGTACTGATTTGTCTCCACCTGTTGAAAAGAATATAGAAAGATTTAGACAAAGAGAACAATCAGTCTCATTTGACAGCATAATTTGCTACTCTTCAAAAGTTTCTTTCAAAAGTTCAATTTCTGTCTGACATTTGTTAATGCAGCCAAAATATTCTGAAGCTTAAATGCAAGTTGTTGTCCCATGTTGTTGAATTAGTGATCATTAAAAATTTTGGAAAAGAAATAATCATTGTGGTACATATTAAGTGTTTCCAAACTGTACTACCAGGGGATACACTATTTTTGTAGGATTATGCAATTATTGCATAATCCCATAAAGTCATTGATTGCTTTGAAGGTTTCTGGAATTGACGAAACCTGAGCATCTCTCCCCTGATGAGAGTTAATAGTTAATGGAGATAGTGAAAACTCGCCCGATGAGAGTTAATAGTTAATGGAGATAGTGAAAACGCACCCGATGAGAGTTGATAGTTAATGGAGAGAGTGAAAACTTGCCCGATGAGAGTTAATAGATAATGAGAATGGCGAAAACTCAAAACATAATTGGATTATTAACCGCGCGGCCATGGGCCGAGCGCGGTTCTAGGTTTACCCGTGGTTTATTTTTTTTTTTTTTGTC